ATGGAATACTACTCAGCTATAAAATCGAATGAAATACTGCCATTTGCAACAACGTGGATGGATCTTGAGAGAATTATATTAAGTGAAACGAGTCAGGCACAGAAAGGGAAATACCACATGTTCTCACTTATTGGTGGGAGCTAAAAATAAATAAATAAATTCACACGCACACACAAAAAAACTGGGTTGGGGTGGGGTGGGAAGAACACTTAACAACTACAACTCCTTGAAGTTGATACGACAAGCAAAGAGAAAGGACATTGTTGGATGGGAGGGAGGAGAGGGAGGGAGGAGAGGGAGGAAGGAGGGGGGTTTCGGTAATGGGCCACAATAATCAACCTCATTGTATATCGACAAAATAAAATTAAGAAAAAAATAAAATAAAATAAAATAAAATTCAGTGATCACAATGGAATGGAAATGACTGCAAGAAAAAGGTACAGTGCAGATATGTATGAATGTTAAAAATGAGCTCGCTCACGTATGTTTAATGAATGATGGTTGGTATAAAATTGCAATGGTATTTAGATTCCACTGGATAGGTTTTAAAGAGTAATATAATAGTCTTCTTTCAAAATGTCGATACTGAAAATATGCTAAAAATGTTGTCTTTGCATTATTTAAACTTATGAAGAAAATATTGTAGATGTCAATTTAAAAATGTAAAAAGGTACGTTATTTTTCAAAATTGTTTCAAGGGAAAAGTAACAAAACATTTTAAAGACCGCTGCTCTGATAAAGGAAGAATAAACTTAATAAATGATATACTGTCAAAAGCATGTATGCTAAAGAGAAGTAAAGTGTTGATTCCTGACCCATACCTGCTGCCTGAACTTTTACAAATTGTCACAACTGTGAGTCTCAATTCCCCCAACTGTAAAATTGGATGAGAATATTTATTTGTAGCATTTTTGAGGAACAAATGAGAATAATTAAAAGGGAAATTACACAGTTCTTAGATTTTGGAAGCTACACATAAGTATGAATTCTCTTCTCCCAAAATTAGCCATGTTTTTTTTTTTTTTTTATTTATCTGGATTTATCTGGAATTGTTGCATGGGAGATTCTTCACTAGCATTAATACTAGAGTATGGATTCATTAAAAATGCCTCAATAAGCAGTGCCAAGTAAAATTATGCTTTACCCTTCCCTATGAAAGAATACGGAAAAACATTTCCAGTGCAAAGAATATGGGTGGTCAATAAAATAACTAAATCAATAAACCATTTTTGTTTCTTCATTCCCAATTTTACTTTATTCTCAATTCAGACAAACACTCACTCCTTCAAATAAGAAATAACTAAGGTATAAAATAACTTATAAAAAAATCACGTACCATGATTCTCACACTTCTCAGGGTTATTAAGAACTGTGAAGTCATGGGGGCAATTAGTAATTCACCATGAAATATTTATAATAGATAATAACATAAAGGTAGGAAAAAATATTTTTAATAAAAATTGCAACAAAGTGGTAAAAACATGAGTTCATCCAAATAATTAACATATTAAACTAGATATGATAAGCTTTGTTATTGTTAGGATACCTTTACTAAATATGCACTATTTTTGGTCATCTAATTGGATTCCCTTATAAGGAAGTAATAATACTGTTTAAAACATTCTGGGAGAAAAAGTATACTTGAAAAATTATATAAACTATTTACCAGCAGATTTTAAAAGGATCATGTGCTGGCTATTTTCCTGTGAGGTTTCAGCTCCAAACATGCCTTTCTCTAGTCTGTGATGCTGAGGCTGGGACTCTGCCAAAGAAAATTCCCAGTCTCCCTTGCTAGCTGGCTTCCTGGTATAGTTTGCCTTAATCTCCATTTAAGGGAGACTGAAAGGCAGAAAGGGAGAAAAAACTAGTTTCCTATTTTCCAATTCCGTCAGGATTGCTCTAGCAGCACAGGAGGGCTATGCCTTACCTGCAGATTCTTTCTGCTCTCCCAGCACCAGATTCCCAAACCCAAGTAACAGACAGGCTGAAACCCCTTCCCAGAGCTCTTAGGTTCTGGTAAATCCATCTCTTCTTTGTTTCCCAAGCTCTAGAGCGTTAGCTGATTTATGAAGTTATAAATCTCTCCCTTTTTGTTCTTTCAGCCCTCCAACATTATGTAATCAATTTTCTGTAATTAAATCTCCTCTGTTTGAAATTTCTGGTCTGGTTCTGCTTTCTTGACTAGACCCTAATGGACGGAGTGCTACCATTATTTGTTTTAGAAGCGCACTTACTTAGTTGGCATGTTTTGAGGACCACTGCCCTACTCCATGGAAATGAATGGACTCAAACCAAAATTGGACTTGGTGATATAGATAAGAAAAATAAAGACAAAAAGCCGATCTACGATCAATGACTGGCATATGACGAGATAGTCATACACATTCACAGTTTCTTTGAAGGTAGTCAAGAATGGATTTCTTAAATTTCTAGTAGCTCAGTATAAAACGTCCAAGATGATCTCTAACCCTTGTGATAATCAAGTCCAGGGAAGAACTGTTTAATGTAATTGTCAAGTACCAAATCACAATTATCATCCAAAGAACCCTTAATTAGTAAATCCCCCCATTAAAGCAACTCAACTATTAAATGTTTGTAGAGCCTGAAAAAAACCAAAACAATTGCTTGCTTTCTTCTGAACGTAACAATGCCCAATCTCACAGAGTAAACAGCGACAATTTCAGCTCTAGCAGTCAGACTCCTTTTGTCCAAGACTCTCTGGCCTTAGCTACTAGAGGGCCCTGGGGATGGTGGATTAGAGGGTGTAGGCTTCAAGGACGGATTCTCCAGAACTTTTCCTGGATTCCACACACACCCCTGCTTACTAGGATCTTACCTTGGGTGCACCTTCCAGATCTTCCAGGGTCTGGGGATGGGGAAGAATGCTGCTTTGTTTGCAATTTTTACTCAGGGTCTCACATTCTTGCCCTCCTGGCTGTGGGCAGTTTTAAAGCTGGGCCCTAATTAAAGTTGTAAAGTGAAAAAGGTGGAAACAGCAGCAAGAAGACCGCCAGGACTAACGGCTACCCAGGTACCAACGGCTTTGGTGCAAATGAGCAACCTCACACAAATGGAATCTAATTATCCTTCTGTTCCCGGCATCACAATAGGTGCAGAAAGAGAAGGGACATAAAAATGAGGATAACACTGACCCCGACCGCGGCGAGGGTGGGGGTGGGGGAACAGTTAGATCGGGAAACAGACACACACAGACTCTTGTCCCAAGCAACAAGACTCCTCCCAGAAACAAAGAAAGAAGCCCCGCCGCCATTCGCAGGTGAACTCCTACGACCTCTGGGACAAGAACACAGTCACAGAAACAGTCACCCCAAATTCGGCCGCAGTCTCACATACCACAGACTCTCACATTCTCGGTGTTACACACCCAAAATCTGTCACACAGCGACCCACAATCTTACTGCACTTATAGAGTCCGTAGCCCCCTTGGTGCGCAGGCACAAAGGGGTACAGCAACAGTCACACATAAACCGTACACGCAAGCGTTCAGTCACAGCCGCCCACGCGCGCAGCCTCACGATTCCTCACACACAGTAGCCCAGGAGTCACCCGAGTGCCCGGGGCCGCACACAGCCCTCCCCTGCACCGCACCGCTGTCGCGCAGGCGCAAAGTGGAGGGGGTCGTGGGGCCTTCTGGGAAATGTAGTTCAGCAAAGAAGGCCGCGACGCAAAGCGTCCTGGGGCTCGTGGTTCGAGGGCTTGAGGGGAACCGCTGAGTAGCTCGTTCACATACCGCAGAGCTCAGTGTCCTGCAAGCCCCAGTCCTCGCTCCATTCCGCCTCGCGGAGGGTTCTGGGAGGTGACGTCGCGGGTCTTGGTAGCGGGTCCGGTTTCCAGAGCTCGCGGCGCCCGGAGATGAGTTAGGCCCGGCCTCCGGCGACAGCGCGAGGTCAGGGCCGGGTTTGGGGTGGACGGGCAGGGACTGGGATGGGGACCGGGCGGACACCGCGGAGGCGACTGTATGTGTGAAGGAGTGTGTCAGTGTGTTACTGTGTATAACTGTGTGACAGGCTGCGGGTGTGACAAAATGAGATCTTGAGTGTCACCGTGTATAGGCGCGTGCGTGTGTGCTTGTGCGTGACCGTGACCGTCTGTGTCTAGGGTAAAACTGTTGTGAATACGTGTGCTGTGTGTAACAATCTCTGCAGGTATAACTGTGTTACTGTGTTGTGTTTGTGAGTGACTGGGGTGTGACATCGTGTGTGTGTGTGTATGTGCGAGTAATTATGTTTGACCAACTGTCTGCGGATACAATCGTGTTTGAATGTGTGTAACAGCAGGTGTAATTGTGTGACCATGATCATCTGCAGATATAATTTTGTATAAGTGATTGTGACAAGAGGTATGACCTTGTGTGTTATGCCAATGTGCATGTGATTGTATGACTTTCTCTCTGTTGGAGTAGTTGTGTATGACCATCTCTCTATCTTTGTGTTAATACAGTTATGTATGTATCTGCAGATATAATTTTGTATAAGTGATTGTGACAAGAGGTATGACCTTGTGTGTTATGCCAGTGTGCATGTGATTGTATGACTTTCTCTCTGTTGGAGTAGTTGTGTATGACCATCTCTCTATCTTTGTGTTAATACAGTTATGTATGTGTGTGAGTTTATGTGTGTGATTGTGTAACCATGTATATATGTTTGGGTGAAAATTTGCATGTGTATGTGAAATTGTGGGCTTAATTGTGTGGGATCCAGTTGATTGTGAGGAACAGAAAGATTAAAATTACTTGCCCAAATTCACACAGTTAATAAGTGACATAACCAGGACTTAAACCCAAGCAGTTTGGCTCTAGCATTCTTGCTTTTACTTCCTAAACTTTCCTGATCTTTCCCACATTGAGAGAATGAAAAATGTGAGTCCTGGGTTCTGAGGGTGTTGGAGAGGATTGGTCCTGGTCTTGGCCTAGGAACCTGCTGAACATGGAACTAAATCTGGTTCTGTTCCTTCAGCCCCTTGTGAGTTACAGGACCGGGTCTTAAGACATTGTAGTGAGACCATCCTCAAACTGGTTGCTTCTTGGGGAGAAAGAAAGCCCAGTCTTCTTCTTCTTAGGTTATTGAGTTTGAGAATTTAGCTTTGTCCTTTTCAGAACTTCCATGTTTGGTGCTGAGAGAGGCTGGATATATAGCTCTTTTTCAGATGTTCCAAATAAGCTAAGTTTTCGATTTTGACTTTTTCAGTTAATAAAGAAAAATGTTCTCATTTTATTTTCAAATGTGTGTGTAGAATGTAAGCAGGAATTTATTGCCATAAAGAATGTAGCAATTCTTTATGCCAGGTGTTCAATCTTGACAGTGAGGAAAGGTTCTGAGAGATGGATCAAAGGGGCAGCCAGGGGCCAGATCATAAACCACCTTGTTGGCCATAGGATAGACTTTAGATTTTGTTGAGTTCTGGCTATGTGTCTGGAGTTAAGTTTAGCATTGGCCTTTTTCTCAGATCCTGGAAAAGGTGAGACTGGCCCATGTAAGGAGGATGTGGGGACCATGAAGGAGCAGTAGTTCTATCTTTGTGTATCTCAGACCAGCAATATAGGGCTGGGATGTTACTTTTTTTCCCCTTAACTCTCCCTTCTCAGGATTTTGTTCTTCGCCAAAAGAGAAAATTGAAGGAAGGAGGAATGGCTGTTGGACTTTGTAAAGCCATGTCCCAGGTAAGTTAATGTTTTCAGAAATTTCATCTCATTTTTCAAGACTTTGGGACCGCAGGGAGAGTCACAAATAGCACAGTGAGCGCCATCTGCACTTTTCTTTCTCTACCTTTTGTTCATATAATCCTTCTACAAAAATCTTAATATCTTTTTACTCAGTTTGTGATGTATCAGAACTGGATTGATCAAACTTTGTTGAGTTGGAGATGAATTAAAGTGAAATAAGGGATAGAATATGATTATCGAGTGCCCTATTAAATAGGGAGGTTGAGGATGGCCTCTCTGAGGAAGTGACATTTAAGCAAAGCAAAACTTTAGTGAAACTAGGGAGTACATTTTGTGGAGATCTGGGGAAGGAATAGCAAGTACAAAATTACTATGGTGGGAGCATGTTTGGTGTGTTCCAGGATTAGCTATGAGCCAATGTCCTTGGAGGGAATTGAGCACTATGAGGTCAGAGAGGTAGCTGGGCGCCAAATTATGTAGGCCCTTGAAAGTCATGATCAGAAATTTGAATTTTGTTCTAAGTGGTAAAGGGAGCCATTGGAGTGTTTGTCATGTGATTTGACTTCTGTTTTAAAAGGAAAATTGATAGCAGGGGAGTAAGGGTGGTAGCAGGAAGTCCAGTCAGGAGACTATTGCAGTAATCCAGGTGGGAGGTGATAGCAGCTTGGACCATGGTGGTGGTATTGGAGCTGGTGAGGTTCTGGGTGTATATTGGTGATAGCAAATGGCATTTGATCAGAGATTGGTTGCAGAATGTGAGAGGAAGAAAGAAGTCAAGGATGATTAAAGATATTTGGCTGGGCAGCTGCATAAATGGTCATACCATTTACTGGGATGGAAAGATAGGGTGGTGTTGACATAAAAAGAAACTGAGGGCAAATATATATAGCAAGGGTTTATTGAGACAATATGAGGATTGGAACTAGGGAGACACATATTCAGGTCACCCTGAGAAATGTATTCCAAATAGGGCCATCAGAACTTAACATTTTATAATCACAAGAAGGGAGAAGGGTCAAAGGAGAGAGAGAGAAAGATAGCCCCACGTAGGTACTTCATCAGGTTTTCTGTTGGTTGTACCTAACATATAGACTTGGGATTGTTGCTAGGTTGCGCCCTACATGCAGGGATCTAGAGGAAGGGCAGTAAGAAGCATTCAAGGTTATTTTATGGCTTTTGGTGCTGTTAATTCTGCATCAAAGTAAAAATGGTCTTATGATAGCATTTTCCAGGACAGGTAAAAGTGATTACTGACTTATCCTAGTTCTCCTAAGGCATTATAATTTAGCTGACCTGGTCAGAGCAGGTTTTTTTGTTTATTAGTGGGGTGGGGTGGAATGAGAATCAATAATTGAGTTAATTGATATATTAAGTTTGAGAGACCTGTTGGCTATCCAAATGGAATGTTGATTATATATTTGGAGTTCAGGACTAGAGATGTGAATTTGGGAGTCAATCTGTTTGAAGCCATGAGACAGGATGAGATTATCTTGAGGGTAAGTTTGTAGTGAATGTAGATAGGAAAGAGGTGCAAGGACTAAGTTTAGGATATTCAACATTCAGAGGCAGAGAAGAAGAGAAGGAACCAGCAAAAGAGACTGAGAAAGACTGATGTAAAAGGAAAACCAGAAGCGTGTGAGTCCTGGAAGCCAAGAGTAGATAGTGTTTCAAGGAGGGCACGATCAACTGAGTTAAATTCTTCTGAGAGAGACTGAAGGAGATGAAGACTGAGAACTGACCATTGGATTTGGTAACATGAAAATTACTGATATTCTTGACAAGAGTTACTTTATAAAATGGTTGGGATGAAAGTATCATTGCAGGGGGTTCAAGAGAGAATGGCAGGTAAGAAGGTGGGAGTGGAGAGAGTGAGTCTAGACCTACAATAATGTAGCCATTAGCCATGTATGACTACTCTAAATTGAGATATGCTGTAAGTGTAAAAATACACACCAGAGTTTGAAGGTTCAGTACAAAGAAGAATGTAAGGTATCTCATTAATAATTTTTATGTCAACTATATGTTGAAATGATAACATTTTAGATATATTGGGTTAAATAAAACATTATTAAATTCACTTCACTTATTTATTACTTTTTAAATGTGACTCTTGGAAAATTTAAAATTGTATATGTGGTTCATGTATTTCTATTAATATCACTGGTCTAGACAACTCTTTGAAAGAGTTTTGTTATTAAGAGGAGTAGAGAAATGGGACAGTAGCTAGAGTAAGATCATGAAAGGGAATTCATTTACTTATCTGTGTATTTATAAGATGGAAGATATTGCATGTTTGTATGCTGATTGGAATTTTCTAATAAAGTGAAAAAAGTTGGTAATACAATGGAGAAAGGTGACAATATTCTTATATGGACAAGTGGAGGGATTGGTCTTAGATAGAAGCCTGGAGTTTTATCAATAGTAACTGAGGGAAGACAGGATAGATGAGTACAGAGACAGGTCAGTAAGTACATATGGTGGCAGGAGGATGGGAGGTTCAAAGTGAGAACAGTTGGTGGTGGTTTGAGAGAGAGACAGAAGGTATGAAATAGTTATCAGGAGACTGGGAGAGTGAATTTATTAGGGAAGTGTGGTAGAGTTGTCTTGCACTGCTTTTGAGGGATCTCTGGTCATATGCTAGAAGTATTTTGGGTCAACATGTTTATCATTCAGAGTTCCAGCAAAAAACTCAAAAGGGGACTATTTACAAGATATTATTAGGATATAGAGAAACTACAAAGGATAGTGCTGTACCCTGGGGCTCATAACAACAGAGCTCCCTTACAGTCTTAGGCCTGAATCCCAAGAGTAGAGAGCTGGGTAGAGAGGGCCCTTGATAGGCCCTGTGAACTTTGATGAAGGACAGAGACCACCCGGAGTGGTGCTTCAGGGTGGTAGCCAGGGAATAAATATTTTGCCTTACTTATCTCCCTCCCATCTCTTGCATTTAGCTGAACCCACTCAAAATGGAATGGGGCAAGGGAGTTTATTAATGCAGTCAACATAGGTCAGCCTCTCAAGACACAGAGAAGAGTAGAGGGGCACATGGAAATTGCACAACACTGTGTAGTTGTATAATTTTTTTCTTTAGACACATTCAGCCAAATTTCCACTATGTGGAATAGCCATATTTGATATTTTGCTACTTCTGATAAAAACTGAGAACATGGTCTACAAACTAGAACTCCATCATTTTTAAGCATTGAGGTCTCTTTCTTCATATGGATATATTATAGGAAACCACCATTTTTTCAGAGTGGCAAATATTTACTGAGTGTTTACAATGTGATCAGTTTTGTAGTAGACACCGTATATACATCAGCTTATAAAACGATAATCTTTACCTTGTGCAGCTGACAGTTCAGTGATATAGCCTAAACTCTATTTTCAGACATGTAAGTTTTTTCCAAGATTTTTTGTATAACATTCCAATGAAAATCTGTCTAAATCTCCTCACATAAACTGTACTTCATTATTTTTTCAGGATACATTCATGAAAGTCTCTCTTTACATATGGAGCCTAATTTCAGACCATACCCTTTGGTTAAAGCTCAATTCAAAACCTTCTTTCACTACTCTGCCCTGCCTGATATCCTAATCTGGAGAATATAAAGGAATTCTCTGTACTGGAATTTCTTTATACTTAGCATATGTAATGTACAAGTTAGCCTGTGCTCATATACTGTTTCATGTTATAAGCTAATTTTTTTCTTGTCTATATGTGTCTTTTTCACAAAGATGTAAAATTTTCAAGAGATGCATCTGTTTCTAATATTTCTCTTTCTCTAAAAGTATTTGAAAAATCCGGACATGTAATTGTTCTCCAAGAATTATTTTTCTTGGACCACTTAGAGATTTGAACTCTGGTAGAATTTGTCTTTTTTTGCTGGGACCATATGGGAGTCTGGGCAATTGGTGAACAATATATTATTATTATTATTTCAGGGGTTAGTGACCTTCAGAGATGTGGCTGTAGACTTTTCCCAAGAGGAGTGGGAATGGCTGGACCCATCTCAGAAGGATTTATACCGAGATGTCATGTTGGAGAACTACAGGAACTTGGTATGGCTTGGTAAGGATGTTTCTCCCCCATTATTTAAAATCTTCCCTCTGGGGTGCTTTTACTTCCTCCACTGGGAATATCTAGGGCATCTTGAAAGTGCTTAGTTGAATTTCTACTTCCCGCTCCCAGGAAATGATTGAAGTAGTTTCATAGAGTTGGAAATGAATAATTCCTTTTGCTGTGGAATGGTGGTTTGGAACAGCAACATCAGCATGACCTGAGAATTTGTTAAAATGCAAATTATGTATTCCCACTCTAGACCTACAAAATCAGAAACTCTGAGAATGGACCCAGTATTCTGGATTTTAGTAAGCCCTCCAAATGATCCCGATGCCCATTAAAGTTTGAGAGCTACTGTAGTTTCTGATTCTGTAGGTCTGGGGTGGGACCTGATAATTTGCATTTCTAATTAGTTCCTAGGTGATGGCTGCAGCTGCTCTAGCACTTTGAGAACCTCTGCTATGGAAGAAGCTTCATCTTCCTCATCCTGTGTACAAGTATCATGTATTCTCTGGTCCTTCCTCTAATGTCCTTTCCTGCCTGATGACCAAAGAGTGGGTCTGTGTCCTGGAACAGCTGTAGCGTGTTGATTTGTCTATCTGTCTGTCTCTTGCTCTGATTTTTCTTCCCCTGTAAACAGGACTCTCCATTTCTAAGCCCAACATGATTTCCTTATTGGAGCAAGGGAAGGAACCTTGGATGGTGGAGAGAGAGATGTCACATAGTCAATGTGCAGGTGAGTGCCAGGTAACCAGGCATGGAGGGCCGTTGTAAGGTGCCTGCCTAAGTGTTCATGAGGAGGTTGCCCTGGGCTTCAGGTGCGAACTGAAATGTCTTTAGTATGCACTGTGCTAGAAACCTCCCCTATACCTTTGGACTTTTTCTCCCTTATTTCTATCAAATTATAATCTCTAGTCTTCTATCTGTACCCTAATCTCAGTCCTTCCCAGCTCTTCTTTCCCCTTCATAGTCAGAATTGTATACATTTCTGGATTTCTTTTTTAGACTTTTTATTTTTATCAACATTATTATCAAGGACATGCATGGACATTGTTTAAAGAATCAAGTAGTTTTACAAGGCTTTTTCCCTTAAAAAAGGAATTCTTTTGCTTTGCTCCCTAATTTCCCTCTAGCTAGAGGGATCCATTTTCTTTTCTTTTGTAGCTTCTTTTGGTGTGTCCTTTACATCTCTGAAAATATATGTATGTTGCTATTTCTTGATTGTTTTTTCACATTTAGTCCTTATCCAATGTCTTCTTAGTAATAATAGGATTTAGCACCTTCTTATCCTGAATCCAAACATGTGTGCATACACACAAACACACACATTTCTCATCCCCCTATCTTATCAATATCATAATTTTGATTGAATCACTATTCAGTGTTTATATTATTATGGCTATTTAGCGCTAGTCTTAGTCGTGCTTTGCATATACCAAAATTACTTTTTCTGTACAACTTTTTATATTTTCTTTGGAGTTAATAATTATCTAGGGGTTTTGTTTGTCTGTTTGTTTTCATGCTTAGTTTTCTATATACATATCCCTAATTTAATTCCCAACTCCTCATCAGTTTTCTAAATCTCTGAAGATGCTCAGACACATTAGGTAATCTATTGATTTCATTGTCTCAGAGAAATCTCTACCAGAGTCTTCAGATATGCTTTACTTTGGATAAATGGCCCATTACATTTGTTTGCCCTCAGTTTGGGTTTCTCTGATATTTTCTCATGATTAGATTGAGGTAACACATTTTTGAAAAGAATGGCACAGAAATAATGTTGTGTCCTTCGCAGTGCATCACACCAAATGATTCATAATGTTGATATGTGTTATCAATGACACAATTTTATTGATTATACATATTCGTGCAGCACACAGTTGATCATCAGCACCTGTGCCCAAGATGTGGTGAGCAGATCAATACTATCAGCATGCCCCCCACCTCAAATTGCAATTATTCCCTGTGTCCCCCACCCAACATCTCCCCAATCCCAATCCCCCTCTCCCCCAACCCCTGGGAACCCTAGATCTGTTCTCTTCCTCTGCAAGTCCAACACACCACTGTGGTCTTTCTTTCCTTCCTTCTTTCTCTTAGCTCCCACTTACGAGTGAGGACATGTATTTTTCCCTCTGTGCCAGGTTTATTTCACTTAACATAATTTTCTCCAAGCTCATCCATGTTGCTGCAAATGGCAGAATTTCATTAATTTTTATGGCTGAGTAGTATACTACTGTGCATATATACCACATTTTCCTTATTCAGTCATTGGTAGATGGACATTTAGGTTGGTTCCATATCTTGGCTACTGTAAATAGAGCTGCAATAAATATGTGAGTGCAGGTACCCCTTCAACATGATGATTTCCATTCCTTTGGGTATATACCCAGCCATGGGATTGCTGGATCATATGGCAGTTCTATCTGTAGTCATTTGAGAAACCTCCATACTGTTTTCCATAGTGGCTGTACTAATTTACAGTCTCACCAACAGTACAAAAGAGTTCCCTTTTCCTCACATCCTTGCCAGCATTTTTTATTCTCAGTGTTTTTGATAATAGCCAGTCTAACAGGGGTGAGACGATATCTCAATGTGATTTTAATTTGCATTTCCCTTATGATTAGTAATGTTGAGCATTTTTTAAAGTACTTTTTGGCCATTTGTATGTCTTCCTTCAAAAAGTGTGTTCAGCTCCATTTTTTAATTGGGTTATTTTGGTTTTTTACTGTGTAGTTATTTGAGTTTCTTGTATATTCTGGATGTTAATCCCTTGTTGGATATATAGTTTGCAAATATTTCCTCCCATACTGTAGGTTGTCTTTTCACTCTGTTGTTTCCTTTGCTGTGCAGAAGCTTTTTAGTGTGTTGTAGTCCCATTTATTTATTTTTTCTTTTGTTGCTTGTGCTTTTGGGGTCTTATTCATAAAGTCTTTGCCCAGTCCTACTTCCTGAAGTGTTTCCCCTGTGTTTTCCTCTAGGAGTTTTATAGTTTCAGATCTTATACTTAAGTCTTTAATCCATTTTGAGTTAATTTTGGTATATAGCAAGAGGTGCAGGTCTAGTTTCATTCTTCCACATGTGGATGTCCAGTTTTCCCAGCACCATTTATTGAAGAGGCAGTCTTTTCCCCAATGTATGTTCTTGTTGCCTCTGTTGAAGATCTGTTGTCTATAAGTATGTGGATTAATTTCTGCGTTCTTTATTCTGTTCCACTGGTCCAAGTGTCTGTTTTTATGTCAGTACCTTGCTGTTTTGGTTACTGTAGCTTTGTAGTGTAATTTGAAATCAGGCAGTTTTATACCTGTGGCTTTATTTATTTTTTTGCTCAGGATTGCTTTGGCTATTCAGGATCTTTTGTTGTTCCATATAAATTTTAGGATTGTTTTTTCTATTTCTGTGAAGAGTGTCATTGGTATTTTCATTGGGATTACATTGAATCTGCTTTTCTATTTCTTTTTTTTTTTTTTTTTCCTTTTTTTTGTCTTTTTTCGTGTCCGGCAACGGATCGCAACCCTCAGTGTCACGCCCGTACCGGATCGGGACCGGCAACGGGATCACAATCCTCGGCACTGCGCCCGCACCTCGCTCAGCCAGTGAGCGGGAACTGGTCTGTATGTGGGATCCGAACCCTCGGCGGGAGCGCCGCCATGCTCCCAAGCGGCGCACTGTAGCAGTGCGCCACCGGGCCGGCACCATGCTTTTCTATTTCTATGAAGAATATTATTGGTGTTTTCATTGGGATTACATTGAATCTGTATGTAATTTTTGGTAGTATGGGCATTTTCACAATGTTAATTCTTCCAATCTGAGAGCATGGAATGTCTTTCCATCTTTGTGTGTCTTTAATTTCTTTCAGTAGTGATTTGTAATTCTCTTTGTAGAAATATTTCACCTCTTTGGTTAAATTGAATCCTAGGTATTTTTTTTTTTTTTTTGGTGACTATTGTAAATGGGCTTACTTTTGTGAATTCTTTTTCTGCTAGTTTGTTATTGGAGAATGAAAATGCTACTGATTTTTAGATGTTGATTTTGTATCCTGCAATATTACTGGAATTGTTAATCAGCTCTAAGGTTTTTTTGTTAGAGTCTTTAGGTTTTTCTCTGTGTAGGATAGTGTCACTGCAAACAGGGACAGTTTGGCTTAATCATTTTTAATCTGGATGCCCGTTATTTCTTTCTCTTGCCTGATAGCTCTTGCTAGGACTTTTAACACTATGTTAATTAGGAGTGGTGATAGTGGGCATCCTTGTCTTGTTCCATTTCTTAAGGGAAAAGCTTTGAGCTTCTCCCCATTCAGGATGATGTTGGCAGTGAGTTTGTCATATATGGCTTTTATTGTATTGAGATGCTTTCCTTCTATACCTAATTTGTGGTGAGCTTTTATCATGAAGGGATGTTAAATTTTGTCCAATGCTTTTTCTGCATTTGTTGAGATAGTCATATGGTTTTTGTTCTTGATTTTGTTGTTGTGGTGGATCACATTTATTGACTTGCATATGTTGAACCATCCTTGTCTCTCTGAGATGAATACCACTTGATCGTGGTATATAATTTTTTTGATGTATTGCTGTATTCTGATTGTTGTATTTTGTTGAGGATTTTTGTGTCTATGTTCATCAAAGATATGGCCTGTAGTTTTCTTTTTTTGTTGTATCTTTGTCTGGTTTTGGTATCAAGGTGATGCTTGTGTCATAGAATGAGTTTGAGAGAGTGGCCTCTGTTTCAATTTTTTGGAATAGTTTGAAGAGAATTGGTATTACTTCCTATTTAAAGGTTTGGTAGAATTCAGCAGTAAGGCCATCTGTTCCTGGGCTTTTGTTTGTTGGGTAACTTCTGACTACTCCTTCAATCTTGTTGCTTGTTATTGGTCTGTTCAGGTTTTCTTTTTCTTCTTGGTTCAGTCTTGGTACTTTCTGTGTGTCCAGAAATTTATCCATTTCCTCCAGGTTTTCAAATTTGTTGGCATTTAGTTGTTTATGATAGTTTCTGATGATTCTTTTGTATTTCTGTGGTATTGGTTGTAATGACTCCCTTTTCATTTCTGATTTTTATTTCTGTCTTCTTTTTTTTGTTAACCTAGCTAATGGTTTGACTATTTTGTTTATCCTCTCAAAATACCAACTTTTTGTTTCATTGATCTATTGTATTGTTTTTTGGATCTATATTTCATTTAGTTCTGCTCTGATATTAATTATTTCTTGCTGTCTGCTAATTTTAGGATTGGCTTATTTTTATTTTCTAATCTTTGAGGTAGCTTTAGGTTGTTTGTTTGAAATCTTTCTATTTTTTTGTAGTAGGCATTTATTGCAAAAAACCTCCTTCTTAAGACTACTTTTGGAGTATCCCACAGGTTTTGATATGATGTATCTTTATTTTTGTTGGTTTCAAGAAACTTTTTGATTTCCTGTTTAATTTCTTCTTGGAACCATAGGTCATTCAGGAGCCTGTTGTTTAATTTCCATGTATTTGTATATTGTCTTGAGTTTTGCTTGTTATTAATTTCTAGTTTTAATCTATTGTAGTCTGAAAATATGCTTGAGATGATTTGGTTTTTTAAAATTTGTTGAAACTTGATTTGTGACCTAATATGTGGTCTATCCTGGAGAATGTTCCATGTGCTGATGAGGAGAATGTATATTCTATTGTTGTTGACAAAATGTTCTGTAGATATCTACCAAGTCCAGTTAGTCAAAAGTGTAGTTTAAATCC